GTTAAAACCTGCTTGGATACACATCTTCCCCAAAGCACAGAGTAATTAATGACTTCTCACAAGCTTTCCAACAATTCCCTTAAATATTTATTGTGCTCAATACTAATCCCCTTGATGTCCGCAAATCTGGAGAAGGCTGAGATGGCCTGCAAAATTAAACATCATATCAATTTTCTTAGCTAACTCCTTTATTCGACACGATGAAGAAATTTAAAGGGTTTTTTCCTCAACGATATTTCTAATATATACATCATCATCCTACCTAGGAGTATTCTCCAGGCCATACATCTTCCAGAACATTCAATTTGATTTTTACCATTAAATCATCAAATGTTTTAAGAATATATGAATGTATAATGTATAGTTTTTTTTAAATATGTATGGTTTTTATATTTATTGTATTGTTTTTAATATTTTATGTAAGGGTTTTTAATATTGTATAGATTTTTATTTAATGTATGGTTTTTTAGAATTTATTACATAAAAATTAGTATAAAATATTACTATATTTATATATATATATACAGATATATGTCTTTTTAATAAGTCCCTAAGCTTACCTCCTCCATTTAAGGGACTTTAAAAATATTATCTCGTATTTTTTTTCGTTCCTTTAACCATGGAATGAGGAATTTATACCTTTTTATTCCAGTATATTGACATATTTTTTTTACTTAATAAATGATTTTAAACTAATATTAAATGCGAATTTTTATTTGTCACTTTAATCTACAATGTTAAGAAGATAATTAACTACTCCTCACTAATATCTTAAGTTTTTTTCTTTTTAGCTTCAACCTTTTTCTGGTGGTAAGTTCCTTCAGTATCATTCTCCATTTTATTACTCATACTATCTTTATCTCTTTTTTATCTAATTTATATTTCTGATATCCCATCGGAGTATTCTTATCGATTCCATTTGGATATTCCACCGGAGTATCACTGTCAAGTTCATTGTATCTTGATCTCACACCGAAGTATCAATATGAGATCAAAATACAATGTCCTCCATAGCGATACTCCAGTGGGATATCAGAAATATAAAATCTTGAGTAAATTACTTGAATTTAATTAATATGATTAATCATTACCACAATTATCATTATCCTTGTACGGATGTACCTCTGTGAATGCCTGTTTTAAACTTGAATAAATTGCTTAAAATGATTCATTATTAGTATTAAAAAATTTTTAAAAAAATCTTTAAACAAAATTAAATAATGATGCTTATTTTTTTTTTAAATTTATAAGCCTACTTCGATTGTTACATCATTTTTCAATGCCTTTTACGTAGTTTTTTATGCTTTTTGTATGCGAAGATTTGCCTGATTTAAATATATCTTTCAGATTTTTGCATGGTTAAAACACCCTTTCGATGTTCGACAAATAATATTTTAAACAATAAAACTCGGTGTTTGTACAATTATGTGTATATCATCTTGAGGAATTAATATTGTAACTGATTTATCGACTTGCAGCTATTTAGAGTCCACATTTCCTTTAATACCTATTGACAATGACGCCATTCCATTTAATTGATATGTTAAATAGGAAAGTACACAAAAACAAGAAAAGTATCTTGAAAGAGCTCTGATTGGAAAAGGAGAATATTATTTAGGGCTGAAGGGAGTATGTCGTTTCGATTTAGATTTAGATTTATATTTTATAAAAAGATTTAGCGAGAATAGGGGATAGAAAAGTGAATATAAGGTAGTGTCAAAAAGGGGGGGGGGGGGTAGAGAAAAGGTGAATCTCATCATGCGGGGAACGGATTCTTTTGAAACCCGAAAAAAAAATCTTAAGTAGTATCAAATAAAGAATCGACGTATATTCTATTTTCATATATATATATATATATCAATACAATTTATAATTTTATCTTTTTTTGAAAAAGAATGGTATCTGATTTTGAAGAACTAATCGCTATTTACTAAATAATACATTCAGAGAGTCTGCGTAGTTTCTATCCTAAGGGGGCAACAATTTTTGTATTCTCTTAAGCTTTCACCATTTTCTGGTGGTAGGCTCTCTCTCTCTCTCTCTCTCTCCACTTTATTATTCATGCTATCTATCCATCTCCTTTTATCTCTGATATCCCCCACTGGAGTTTCTTTATCTATTCCGTTTGGATATTCCACCGGCGTATCGCTATCGAGACCCTTGTATCTTGATCTCACACCGAAGTATCAATATCGAAAGATATCCCACCGGAGTATTTTATTGACCGATATCCCACAAGAGTATTCTTATCGATTCCATCTGTCATCATCCTTAAATGGCTGACGAACGAGGTTAGCTGGTCATCTTTCATTTAGGTTTATTGGACAAGTAAGTACCCGGCTGTCTAAGCCTGTCGATGACCGGGGTGGCATTTCTCAGCTCAGAAATTTACTCTAGCATATGTCCTTACACATCAGTCATCAAAGAAAAACCTGAAAATATTTACGTTCCATACAAAATTGAACCTGGGACCTTCTGTTTCCAAGCATATATCATAAACCCACTAGGCCACTCCGGTGATTCCTAAGGGGTCAACAATTAATTTATGTATTTTATAGCGAAATGGAAACAAATATACATACCACAAAATCTGTTAGCTCAGATATCATTTGCCTAAAAGAAAAGCAAAATAAAACACTTTACCAAGAGTTTCCAAATACAGAACTGCTTAGTAGTTTATTCAAGATACTGTTCCAGAATATTTATAATCGAATTCTAAAGACATCATTGCGATTTTTTCTAATTAAGCATTTAAAACTCAAAGAACATCATAAAAATATAGAGAACGAGATTCAAGATAAAGATAATTGGTAAACATCCAATTCGTATTTAGTTAAAATAGCAAAAAATTACGCAATTATTATAATAATACCAGAAATTGAAACAAGAATGCCACATTTGGATGCACTAAAAATTTGGGGATAAAAGCAACTGTAACTTTCTAGACTTGCTAATTTAGCTAGGAAAGTGTCTCGAGTTAGATAAAACTGGGAGCTTGGCAAACCACTTATCTCATTTTAAAATTAAAATAGACTAGATGGTTAATTTTATCCTTATAGCTTTTTTTTAGTAAACATCTATAAGCAAAAATCTTTTAAAATAATTAAAGATTTTTCATGTAAATTAAATTTTATAGAAAAGTTTTAATTCTCTTTTATAATTTATGAATATGAATATTTATTTTGTCTGGATGGATATTATTTCAATCATGATTTAGAGCTAGCGGGGGCTTACTAAACCATACATGTCAATTATGGCAGTTAATAATGAAAAATTTCAAAATCTTGGAAGGACATGATGATTGGTATTTTGGATTTGTGCTAAGAAATCTTAATCTCTCCTCAAGATCCTTATTTTTTATGCCCAAAATGTTTATTAAATTAACCAAAGTTTTTCTTTCTTTCTTTATTTATTTATTTCTTTCTTTCTTTCTTTCTTTCTTTCTTTCTTTCTTTTATAATCGCTTCAATTTACAAATATTAAGATATTTTAAACAATAAAATTATTATATATATGTATAATCTCAACATTAAATTAAATAAGCATCATAAACGTAAAAACAAATATATGAATCTATATTGCTATTACTTTTCTAAATATAATGATAATTTCCTAAATTCCTTTATTTCCAAAATCATTATAAAAAAATCATATGATCAATACAAAGAATTATAATTGTTATTTATCTTATATGCTAAATCAATTTAAAAATGTCTATATATGTCAATTATATGTCAACAGATACAATACTACGTACCAACAATTAATAAAAAATAAATTATTTTCAATTCATTATAGCCTAAAAAAAACTAAATTTAGGAAACCTCTTGCAGTGGTTTACCTAACCCCGTTATTGGTGTTTGTTGAACAAGATTAAAAATATGATTATATTTTTATAAGGTACCTTTATATAGAGTATAGTTTTAGCTATCTATTCATATATTGTTCTTTATAATATCAAAAATAGAACACAGGAGTTATAACCGACTTCGCAAAAATCGGTTCAACTAGCCCCAGTTTCCCCTACTTTGTATACCTGCAACCAGTATACACACCTAGCGAAATTATCATTTCCTTCGCTGGATTGATACTCAATATTAAAAGAACCTCTTCTATGCCACACCAATCAAGACAAAATTTTACTAAATTTTATTAATAATTTATTTCTATTTCTATGACTGATGTAATGCGTAACTCTGACATTAGTAAAAAAAAATCACAATTCCTTTAGCCTATTCCTGAAAATGAGATGATAAATAATTTATTAAGGAGGTAGGACAGTAAATGATTTAAGGAGTTAAACTATATTAACAATCTTGAAGCTAAGAGGTGCCCAAACTGTAAATTAATTATAAATTAAATCAATTATTTTTTCAATTATGTATAAAGCCACCGACTGCTACCAATTTATTAAGCGACGGCTAATTCATCGCGCCGATGTAAGCCGGGTAATAATATGAATACTTTTATTTGAAATATTGTATTTTGTTTTTTTTTCCCCGCAACGCATTACAATGCCTTTTCCTTATTCCAACGTAAATGCGACCTTAGAAAGCCCAAAATTATTTAAATTTTATATTATTATTCATTTCTTTGATATATAGATATGGGGGGTGTGTTTAAATTTTATATTATTCATTCATTTCTTTGATATATAGATATGGGAGGGGGAGTGTTTCTTTCGTAACAACAAAAATTTTTTTATTTATCTTATTTGATTTGACCCATCATTTTTAGAGATATAAAGGTTATAATTATTTCGATAACAATAATATTGACTTAATAAATGTGTTTAAATATTTCTTTTTATTTTATATCTTAAATGTCTTGGGTCATCGCACCTTTAGTATAGTAGTCCAAAAAAACAAACAAATCTAATTATTTTGGCCAAAAAAAAAAGAAAAGAGATATTATATTAATTTATAATTCATAATCATAATCAAAAAAAAAATCAAGGTTATCAAAACAAGTTTAATCTAAAAAAAATTACGAATCTATTTAATTTGGCATAAAATAATCATAAAATTCAAAAAAAAAAAAAATTCAAACGTAAAATTGAGAGGAAAATACAATTGGCTCAAAAAAAGAACAAGTTATGAAATTTAATCTAGCATTGGGATTGATCATGGTATTATCGAGCGTACTCCCCATCATCGTCGAAGGTAAAATAAATTATGAATTAATTAGCGGATCGGTAGTCAATATACATGCATGTTACGGTCAGTGCGTGTTTTTTTTTCTCAAAGTAATTTGCAATTATTTTTAACAACTTTAAAATCATTTTCCAGAATGCATTTTTCCCTGAAATACATTCTATCCACGTTTGGAATACCCTACCTTATGAATCGCGGACACTTTTAAACGTAAACCTTTTAGAAGTCATTTGTAATTTATATATATATATATACGGAAAATTGAAATATAGATTATATTTAAGTAGTGTAGTTAAACGGCTCGTTTTGTGCCAATTTTTTACAAACGGTTGACTCAATATTTTATCCAGAAAAAATTGTTACGCGACTCTGAAGATTTTACTCGTAGAAGGAACATATATATTGCGAGTCTGAAGATTTTACTCGTAGAAGGAACATATATATTATCGTAATCTAGAGATTTAGTCAATATTTTTCTGGCTAATATATTGAGTTAGCCGTTGTAAAAAAATTGGCTCAAAATGGGTCATTTAACAATACTAATATTAAGTTTAAAAGTTCATGTAAAAATTGTCTAAAATTTATAAGGTAGGTACTCCAAACATAACAGCATCCATTTTGGGTAAAATTCGATTTTTTTAAATTTAGAAAAAAAACGTGGTCAAAAAATGATTGAAAGTTGAAAAAATAACACATTGCTAAGAAGAAAAATGAGCAATGAAGCCAACATATATATATATTAAAAATTAGTTCATCAAACAATCAGGTTTTATTTAGGATAGGGTTCTACTCCATGGAATTCGGCAAAATCAGATATTTTAGATTTATTGAAAAATTATTTTATTGTAGAAGGAAACAAAAACGGAGATTTTATTTAATTTTGATGACAAATTAATGTTTCTAAGCCATTTCTTAAATAATTTAGTGAATAGCACCGTTTTCGTAGAATATAGATTGCTTATAAACTTAGAATAAATTGATTTTAAGCGTAAAATATGTAAGAGGCCTGGGTGTATTAAAATTATTAGTTATTTTGTTTCAAAATTTGCAAAATATCCACCAAAATGTTTCTAGAAATTGCCGAATTTTAAAATTATTAGCATTTTCTATTTCTTGCGAATTATTTTGTTATTAATTGTTAAATGTTCGGATTATTCGTAATTAGCCATAGGATTTAAGACGCGCCGCCAACCATAGGATTGGTCTTTTCCCTAGATCTCCCTCGCGATACGGGTCCACAATACCTTTGACTAAATAATTGTCGCTATGGGTTTTGTTGCACCCTACACTATAATTTAGTCTTAAAGTTATTATATGATAGTAGTAGTTATTAAATAATAGATTCCAATTCAATAAGATAAACAGATATGCTTAAAAGGGGCTTGGCAAGAAAATGTTAAGCGGAACGTTTACTTTGTATATATTTATATATATACACCAAAGGAAATAGAAATAACAGATGTTTTAGGTGTTGTGGGGAGAATTAAAATGAATAAGGATAAACCTCAAAATCTCACTAAACATTTCCATACTATTTTTTTTTTATAAACTTTCATCACAATACAAGTGTTGATAAATGGCTCGAATTTCAGAAGATTTCTAGGAACCAAATCGTTGTGCCATCTTTGAGCTAAATCTTCAGGCTTGCCTTATAAACTTTTCTGGATAATTATAGAGTTGGCCCCTTTTTTTAAAAAAATCGAATCGAATTGAACCTCTTAACAACACAATCCCTCACCTATGAATATGCCACTTGGGTCGGAGTCATCTAGGGCAGGGAAAAGAAGGGGATTTCTTCTCTCATAAAATCTAAAAGTAAATATCATTTTAAGCTAGTAAAAATTTTACCACTCTACACCCCCTAGCTCACTGTATCTACTCGGAAAAGGTTGAAATTTTAAAATTATTACTAATTTTTTTAGAAGAACAAAAATAAAAAAGTCAAATTTTTTATACTTTCAAAACTTAAAATTTAAAAAGATTATGTTTTAAAAAAAAAAAAAATTATTTTTAAATATTCTAAGGAGGATTTTTTTAGACAGGAAGAATCTTCGAAAGGTAAAAAAAAATAAATCCCAAGTTTACGTACTTACTAACACTCTTTATAAGAGATTCCGCAGAGGACAATAAGATCATTCCAGAGTGTTGCTAAACGGCTAAATTTTTAAAAAAATTTTAAAAATTCTAAAAGTACTTTTAGACATGAAGAATTTTCAAATAGGGTAAAAAATAAATCATAAGTTTACATTGCTCACTAAACACTATCTATCAGAGAACCTGCAAGATGGTCACATTTTATGGCCAGTCAGTAGTGTTGCCAAACTGCTCAATTTTTAAACTTTTTTTAAATATTCGGGAAGAATTTTAGTATAAGTGGTAAAAAATATTCCTAAGTTTACATCATTTACTAGACACTATCTATCAGAGAACTTGCAGAGGTAAAATTTTAGGGCCAGACAGTGGATTTTGCTTAAAGGCTCAATTTTCAAACTTTTTTTATATATTCAGGAAGAATTTTCAAAAGTGGTATAAAATATTCCAAAGTTTACATTATTTACTAGACACTATCTATCAGAGAACTTGCAGAGGTCAAATTTTAGGGCCATTCAGTAGTGTTGCCAAACTGCTCAATTTTTAAACTTTTTTTAAATATTCAGGAGGAATTTTTGTAAGTGGTAAAAAATATTCTCAAGTTTACATTATTTACTAGACAATATCTATCAGAGAACTTGCAGAGGTCAAATTTTAGGGCCAGTCAGTAGTGTTGCCAAACTGCTCAATTTTTAAACTTTTTTTAAATATTCAGGAAGAATTTTAGTATAAGTGGTAAAAAATATTCCTAAGTTTACATTATTTACTAGACAAAATCTATCAGAGAACTTGCAGAGGTCATATTTTAAGGCCAGTCAGTAGTGTTGCCAAACTGCTCAATTTTTAAACTTTTTTTAAATATTCAGGAAGTATTTTCGTAAGTGGTAAAAAATATTCCTAAGTTTACATTGCTTACTAAACTCTATCTATCAGAGAACTTGCAGAGGTCAAATTTTAGGGCCATTCAGTAGTGTTGCCAAACTGCTCAATTTTTAAACTTTTTTTAAATATTCAGGAAGAATTTTCGTAAGTGGTAAAAAATATTCCTAAGTTTACAACATTTACTAGACACTATCTATCAGAGAACTTGCAGAGGTCACATTTTAAGGCCAGTCAGTAGATGTTGCTTAAAGACTCATTTTTTTAAAAAAAGAACACCAAACATTTTAGCCAAAAAATAATGCAAGCCAATAGATTTTACTCATATATTGCATAAGGGAGGGGTTATTAACGAACTATTCCACTAGACTTGCATAACATTTGTTGGAGTTAAAATCTGAAATTTAAAAATTGGCTCATTCCAGCAGTTTAACAATACTAACAGCCCGGGGTTCATATAAGCTTCTTTTTTTTTATCTTAGAAACCAATCAGGAGTTTAGAAAAGTTTGTTGCCAAGGCCTTTATAATTTTTGGCCATATTAACATACATCGTTTATTTTGAGTAATTATAAAAAAATTAATTTCCATATTTAAATAAATTCGGGCCAGGTCGGGCCGAGCTTGAAAAATTAGGACCGATCCAGATCACTAGCTTTCATTACATTTTTTATCTTCATCATTTCGATTTATTCTCATTCATTTTTTTTAATGCTTTGATTGTAATTGTTAGTTTTGGGTTCGTTATATAATTAAAAGGTCATTGTATTTAATTTTTACGTCTTTTAGAAAAAAATTTACAATAAAATATTTGTTTAACCTTTGAACCTACCTCACACTATCTCAATAATTTCGTGGGTTTTCAAAAGGGGTCAAAAAAAATAAAATATTGTTTTTTTTTTCAGGTTATTGATTTAATTATTTAAATAAACGTAATAACATATAAAAAATAATACCTAGACTGGAAACGCATTCATTAAAAGTGTACATTCAGTGAAAACAGCTGGGGACGCCATTTTGATTACCAATGAACGAGAGGGCCAATGTATTCCTATGTCTAACGCGAACTTATTAAAAAGAATTGCCTGATTGATCATCGAGATACTAAGAAAGCAAAGTTAACAATATAATAGTATTGTTTCTAAGGGTTACCAAAATGGCTGGTCCAGCTGATTTGCATTCAACGACGCTTTCAAATGCATATATGTCACCGAATAAATGATATAAATATATAATTAGAATTGCGATCCTAATTTTTGAGATCAAGAGAAACTCATCTGAGTTTTATTTTAGGGATTTTAAACTTTTCGCCATTTTAGGTGTTTCGATTTTTTGAGCCACGTGATCAACGTTTTAATATTAAAAATCCGACACTATATATTTTTTTAAAAAAATATAAATTTCATTTTTATTTTTTCAATTTTAAATCTTTTATTTTTTTTAACTTTCTCATCTCTCAAGATTTTAATAGTGTATCAAAGACTGAAATGTCCTATAGAAAAGATCTCAAAATTTCTGAACTTTCGTAACTTTCGTAACTCTACGAAATTATAAAACATGTCCAAAATCATGCGTTAAATTTTTAATAGATCTTTTCCTATTTAATTTTTATATTTCCCATCTTCATTATATGTAACAAAATTAAATATAAATTTATTATTACTTTATTAATTTTTTTTTTCTTAAAAATTTAAACGACTTTATAAACTTTAGGGCTAAAAATTTATAAAATTTTTATAATTTCTCGAACTTTAAAAAATTAATAAACTTTTCGTAAAATTCGAATACTCCTTTTTGGTTAAATATTTACGAATCATATTTTTTTTTAATATTTAGGACATAGGCCCATAAAAATATAAACACTTTAATAATAATTGCTATGTCCTAAATCTGCTTTAAAAATTCGTAAAAATGTTGAAAACTTACAGAAATTTTTAAATTTTAACCAAATCGTATGTTAAAATTTTAAGATTTTCTGGAATTATGTTTAGGACATGTTTTTATTTTTTTTTATTAGAAACAGCTTATTTCCCAGTTATTTTCGTTAAGGTTTCAAAAATTTACTAATTATATTTTTGATATATAGGACACAGCCTAATAGAAAAATTTCAAATAAAAACGAAAAATAATTTCATAGGTTATATCGGGATTACGAAATTGAGAGCCAGTTAGATTTATATGTAGTTATATATGTAAAAATATTTGACTTCATGCTACTTTAGTCCATTTGTAGACTAATTTAGTGGACCCCTTAATATAATATAACATAATTAATAAATGGGGTTTTGTTTCCTACAAATAAGTGATAAATGTAATTTAATATTTTTTTTTATTGTTAAATAAAATATTCTATCCAAAAATTAATAATATTTTGTTGGTCACACTTATAGGCGTATTTGGTTGCTCCAATTTTTGATCTGGCATTACTATTAATCGTGGTCGAAGAACTTGACTCCTTAACACCACTGTAAAATGCTAGAGAAGATGTAAAATTGTGATAATATCTGTAGAAGAAGGGGAGGCTAGAAAATGAAATAAAGTTAACAAGATAAATAAAACATTGGATTTTAAGATCAAGATTGCCAGTCTCTAACGAAAGTCAGTGGATTTTAAGGCATAGAAAATTTTTGAGGATGGTGAAAAAGTTTTTTTGTTACGAAATATGTTTGAGGAGGTAATATTAGAGTTCCTCAGAAATATTTGAGGCTAGAAAAGGTTTTCTTTAAAAAAATTGCTTAACAGGAACCTCCACCATCACGATAGAAGATCCGGCGTGAGAGCTATCTTTTATTTTACTCTTAAAACTATTGTAAATCTGTATAATTGAAACATTAAATAATCAATATAATGAAAATATATATTCTAAAAAATAAGTTCACAAAGAATAATAACACTTTTATTTCGTTCTAATAATAACACGTGATCTAAAACAAAGTGTACAAAATGTTATCTATCTCTTATTCGAAATCAATTGAAAAACTTATATATCTATCAATTACATAGCAACAGATATAACAAAAACTATAATTATTTTTACGGCCATTGTTAAGGGACAGAATGGGGTTTTGTTTGTGCTTAAACTTAGACCATTTGAGGCCTCTTTATTTTTTTTTATCATGCAACATATTTTGCTAATTCTTCTTATGATCTACTAGTAATTCAGTCATGAAATGTAAAACATGAAAAAAAGCCTATAGTACCCCATTGTTGAATGCCTTCAGCAGATGAGATAGTTTGGTCCCCAAATCATAGAAGGGAAGGATTTTGATAGCAACTGATTATGTAATTTGCATAGTTCGAAAGTTTTTTTTAACGAGTTCAGTGGAAATGTTTTCTATGGAATATGCGTAGGCATTCAAAAGTATATTTTTATTATATCTGCACTTGAGGGATTATTTGGAGTTAGATACAAGCAGGAACCGTTGTATCGCTATCACTATATATAACAGCACCTAGGTATGTGGGTTCACTAAGGATAGAAGCAACACCTGAAAGCCGAGTAGAGATGATTTTGATGGTGAGTCTTCGAAAAAGTTTCCAAGGTGATTGGTCCCTATGCTTTTAGTGGGTTCTAATAAGGGAAATTAATTCAGCTCCAAATAGTATCGGAGACCAGATGTAATTTCGTTGCATAAGTAAAAGCGGGGAATGCAAGCAAATGTGTTCGGCCATTAATACATGGAACAATTAAATCGTGCAAAATATTGATACCTTCAAAACCATGGATCTTGGTGGAATGAAAAGATTGTCTATTTGAGTTCTTCCCAGAGAGATGTTTAGAGATAAGTTTCCATATACGTTTCGATGCTAGAACACGTGATCCTTTAGGAGTATGCGAGAATGATTGATGGTGACTGTCTCTTGAAATTTCTTTCCGCAAATGTGGCCTAGTCAGAGTAAATCTGTTATGAGTAACAATTGTGATTTGTTTATAAACTTATATCAACACGTGAATTGAACACGGGATTAGGATCAGTCAAAGATTTGTCGATAACCGGTGCATTTAAACTTGGTAAAGAATGAAGAGGGTGAGTGGTAAGGTTTTTGAAAAGAGACGTCTCAGTGGGATAGTGGGCCATAATTAGTAAAATACTCTCTAAAATTATTAGTGGTTATTTCTTTCTTTCTTTCATTTTTAAAGGTTGCAAAATCAGAACCAATTACAGTGATAAACCTGAGGAAAGGCCTTTGGAGGACAATATCTTAATATTCGATTATGGTAATAATTATTATATTTTTTCTTATATTCATATTTTAAAAAAATCTTATAAATTTTTTAAGGATACAAGGGTTATAAATGTCCCAAAAAGCTGAGTACGGGTTTTTAAATAAATAACTTCGCTAACATTTATTTCACAAGGGTTGTGGAAAAGGAAGGCTCGGTTAATTTGTCGAAGAATGAGTAAGGAATAGGAAAGGTAAACGTAACATTCCGTGATAACAATTTCCTGTCCAATAAAAAAAAAGAAAATATATTATTTTCATCGTATCTTATCATAGAAGGAGCTCTGGATTGGGTAGGGAACTTCGCGCTCCTTATGGCTAAATTATTATTCTGAGAACTATCATTTTTATTTTTTTTTTAATGATTAAATCGAATACAATTTTTGGATATCCGTTCAATTTTAAAGCAAGTTTTAATAATCACTCCACATCAATCACTTTCAAAATTTTAGCATATAACTCTTTAAAAATAAATTTAATATTAATATTAATAAAATTGTTCAAATAGAAACTTGAATTAGATTTATTTTTTTCGTCTTCAAAATCAAAATGAAGAGGGGGGGGGAGGGTAGATACGGAAAATAGATTTTCCTGACCGGAACTGAACGCATTAATTCCCTCGTTTCCGGTTCAAGTTATAATTTTTTTAATTAATAATATGAATAAACCACGTGGTGGCGCGAAGAACACAAAGCCGGAACTAGGAATAAAGATTACATCACTTTCGAAGATTGCCACGGAAATCTACATCTTTACTCTCAATTCTATGACGGATTTGGTAAAAAAAAAAAAAAAAAATTTTTATAATAATAATATACCTCAAAATAATATTTTGGTTAAGGAAGGAACCAAAGAATTAATCAGGGAGGATTAGTCGGCCATTTAAGAAAATGGCATTGCATAATCAGTAGAAGACAGAAAAACTCCATATTTTATCCAAAATATTGCCTAAGCCTTAAGATTTCGATAATATACGTCTTGACATTTGTTGCTTCTAAGAAGAAAATCTTCAGACATGCGTAATAATTTTTCGGAGTGCAGTGTTGAGTTAGCCCTTCTTATAAAATAGGCTTAAAAACGAGCCGTTTAAACAACACTTCTTATAATTTTTAATTGACTTATGCTCCAGTGGCATGCAAGGATCCAGTTGAAACAAATTTTTGGGCCTATTTTGGAAAGTTTTTGAATATTCTATAAGAGTTCCTCTTTTTGTTTTCATTTTATTAGACGCAAAAGAGTGACAGTTAAGCAAATTTATTTAACTATCCGTATATAATGCACGTTACCCGCCAACAACTTACGTAAATAGGATAACACGCGTATTTTCTGACTGTTTGCCAGCATATAAATTTTTTAAAAAAATGTCTCAAAAGTTCGTTATCAAAATTGTATGATACTAGACATTCTTTCGGCAAATGCGGAATAATCAAATTAGTTGTCGCGAAATATTCTCAAATCTACCCATATTCTAAATTAAGATTTTAGTCAAAATAGGATTGTTTTCCAAAACCATATAGCCATCCTATGAGCAAAATCTCCCGCGTAATTATTTTTTGGCTACAATATAAGAGTTAGATATTTTTTTTGAAAAAATAGAGCAGTTTTAACAATACAAATCCTAATTAAAAGCCGACTTATGAATTAATTATTCAAAGGCGAAAATGAAAACTATTTATATATATATTTATTATAAAACAACCTTTAAAGAAAATTATATTATGTAAAAGAATTTATTAAAGAGGAAAAAATAATTGCGCCCGTCATTCTGTCATCGGCTGAAAAATCGGTAAACGATCCACTTTTGATCTCTCCATCATTTACTAAAAGGAATGGAAATATTACATACGAACTATATAATTTTAACAACAATGGTGCTAACTATATTATAAAGGGGAAGGTATAAGTAAAAAAATATTTTTTTACGATTTACATTGTATTAAAGGGCAACTTAAAAATTAAAAACTGACAATTTTAAATATTGAATTATATATTTTTGCCATCTTTACAACTTATCATGATTTATTAATCAATAATTTAGCGCAGAGGAAACGATAAAAAGGTTATTACCCTATTTTGGTGTGACGAATATGTATCTTTTGCTTAAGAAAAAAAAAATATCATTTATTTGGATCAAACTTTGGCTTCAAAAATACAATTTATTTTTTTTAACGTAAATTTAATTTTTATAAAATTCATATTTTTCATTTTAAATTGGTAGTATAGTAGATATTTATTTTTTATATAAACTATATATGTTGGTAATCAGGGTTTGTGAATAAGGATAAAAAAATAAAATAATATTATTCGGTACACTATATTCCTTTTTATTCCAAAACTAATATACTTTACGTAAGCAATAATGTATGAAGATGGATGCGATTGAACATCTGTATCTAATAGCTTGTTGATTACGAAGAATATATACGCTTTGCAAGTAGTCTTGTGGTTAAATAAAAATCAATGAGGTACATGATTAATCTACCTAATAAACCTGTTTTATTAGGATTAAAGGTCAAAATTCGAAATATATTATACGCGCGTTAAAATAGTCTGACCAATCATAGGCTCTTTAAAAAGATATGGTTAAACAAGCGTAACTAATTTGATAGGGGTTTTTTTTTGATGAGATCAGTAAAGTGGTGGGATTGGCAAAATCTGATCAAAAAAAATAAAATAATTTATGTTGAAAAGAATTCGATATTGTTATAGACATTCTATACACTGTGCAATATAAGCTTTTCCAAATTGAATTCTTGGATAACCATGCAGTTGCGATTCTATCATCATACGGCCCAAATTAATCAAATTATTTTATTAGTTAGGTTTAGCAGGGTGGTATCTATGGAAAGGATGGAATACATTTCCAAGCTGTACTCCACCCTTAAAAAAATAATTTGCTGCTATACTAACCTCTTCTCAAAGAAATATAGCAAATTTTGCGATTTTCATATACTAAGTGATTGTGATAAGAAAAATATATAAATATTCTATCTAAATCCTAGCCCCTCTCCCTTCATGTGTTATCGTTACGTGCTGTTCTTATTTTTTTTTTATTTTCGCAATTTGTTTTATATGTCAAATAATTATAGATCTAAAAAAATTCAAACGAATCGATTAGGTTCATTGAGTTTCGTTTATGATAGATAACAAATCAATAATTAGTTATTTATAAAGGATAAATGTACTAAAATTTCTTATTATTTACAAATTTGAAGAAGAAAAAAAATTGTTTTTAGATCTTTACGGAAAATATTTAAATTTCCAAAATAATAGGATATGAAATGACAACTACAACGATAAATATTCTAACAATCTTACTAATAAATCTAGCTCACTCAGATCAAGTATAAAATTTTTGGCCGAATTTGTGTATTAAATGTTATTTAAGCAAATCTTTGGGAAGGCATATTTGATATCATTCATTTCTAAATTCAGAGCTGAGCTAGAAGGGGGTATAGAAATTATATAACTATTATTAACTCCCTTCTCATAAAATTATTTGGCAACCACTTAAAGTTACTAAATTTTCTACTTAAATACTAAGGGAATTTATTAAAATCACTAAAATATTCAGAGCATTACAGTTTAATCTATATAGACGTTTTCGATTTTGAAAGCAAACAAATTATTATTTTGAGGAAAAACAGATAAGATAAACCAAACCTACGACTCCCTTTCTCTGTATCTTTTTAATACAATTTCCAATAGAATTCCAAACTGCACACCATCTACTTCCGTCAGATCTCTATTTCTCTTCTCCAGCACTGTCTTGAGAGAAAGATCAATCGCTCAGTACATTCTAATGAATTATTGCCTTTGTTATCTAGGATAATCCCACTTTTCATTCCTCACAATTTAAGTAAAATGTAATAAATCTTGTTAATTTTTTTTCAATAAGTCAGCTAGTTATCTTTTTCTTCCAAAATTTACCATTATGATTATTATATTCGATTTAGTAAAATATGATTGGCAAAAAATAAAATTCTTACAATTTATAAATTTAAAAACTAATTTATGCCGGAAGTGGCATTAACTATCCTTAATAAAAATTGATGCTTTATTCAAATACCATCGTTCAAAAATAATTTAGATATATTAATATAAATGAGTATAAAATAAAAAAATACAAAATAATTTCTTTTAACGCGATTACATTGATACGAACTACAAAAATTAGGGTTATCAATTTATAAATAATAATAAGTTTTTAAAAAAAAATTCGATTTTTATTTAATACTGAAAAGAAGTTTATTAATACCAAAAAATAAAAATAATATGAAGGAGAAGCCTTAGATTAAATTTTATAAAAGCAATTTATTTAGTGAGTATTAGAAAATATTTGAATCTTAAATCTAATAAGGAAATACATGCAAAAAATAAAATGGGTTATTAAAATTTATAACTTTAATTTTTTGAATCAAAATCAATACATAATAACTATATAAATATTTTTCAAAAAAATTATGTAAATATATAAATTATATTATTAATTATATATATATATATATAAATGTTTATAAAAAAATTATCAAATATGTATAGTAATTAAAATTTCATGTTTTTTTTTGGCTTTTAAGATTAGAAAAATATTATGAGAAAAAGCTTAAATGTGAAATTGGCTTGGTTTTGTAAAAAAATTTTTAATGATGGTAACCATTTTGATCAAGATGAGAAGAATGGTGATTTTCGAGCTGGCCGTTAGTGTCCTCGTGGAAAGAAGATTGTAGTTCCATGCTTTTGCTATTTTTGCTTCTAACTTCTTCGACGTGATCAACCTTAAATAATAATCGTCATTTTTTTTTATAGATTCACTAAGATTTTTTGAATAGGGCAAAGTATTTTGTACAAATACTAAAAATAGGCTGAAAATAAAAACTTGTTAATTAAAATTTAAGATAGGAGAAATTCGATTTATATTCCTAATGGAACCAATAACATATGCTCTAGTGAAAAATATAAGCATAGTTAGAATACCTATTTAAAAAAAATTTTATATTAGGATTATGCATTCTCAAAATCGAAATTATACTTTACGAAGAAAGCGTCTTAACTTAGAATAAATAAATAAATAACAAAGAATTCGAAATTTGATCATTTTTACGTGTTCCTTGATTCTCAGCCGGATATTAGATAATTGTTCCTCCCTATTCGTGATGGCGCTCGCCATTTTAAGTTTCATTTTATGATCCATTTCCTGTCTCATTTCATCGTTCTGTCGTTTGACCTCTTCTACCTTTTGTTCCTATTTTTATTTATTTTTTTTGGATAAATGAAAAATAAGAGGTAAATAGAAATTGTTTATTAGAGACAGGCGTATAAAATATCTTTAAAGGTTGTTGGCCTAACCGAAATTTTTATACAAATGGAGGTCAAGTAAAGAAATTATCAGTGCCAAGCCAGGAAATCCAAATAAGTCTTAAGGGATATCTTGGCCTGTAGGTTAAAATATAGGTTGAATATAACAATAATAAAAAAAACGTGTCATTTTGTGTTAGAGGGCCTTAAATTAAGGGTTAATCTATAATCAAAAATCTACCTTAAAACGTGAAAAGGTTAGAACTTTAACCTGTATCGAATATCTTAAATAAATTAGGCGATACTATTTATTCGGATAAACAAATTATTGTATCGAAAAAAAATGTACAAATCATAATTAATTTTCTCCTTTCTTTCTTTCTATGGAAGCAAGAATAATTATTTTCTCTTTATATTTTTTATAAATAATGCTAACGTGTTCTTTCAATCTTTCGATCAAGCTCTGTATAACGGAAGTTCTGTTGTTTTGAGCGCTCTGAATCCTCTTGTCCAATTTTTCTTTGACGACCTTACCAAAATTTTCGCTGGCTTGACACACGTCCATCACGTGTTGTTCCTTGTTTAGTTTTTATTTTCGATCGTTAGGTAAAAATTTCTTTTATAAAATCAGTCATTATTGGCATCTCTCTTCCTGAGCCCTTATCAATTTATTCTAGACACTGGCAAAACTCTAATAAATCCCCCTTTTTGAGTGACAAATAAAAATTCGTAAAAATAACAGTTTGTTTAAAAAAATTGTATTACGTGCAGCTTAAGTTTATCCTGAATAGCCCTAATTTGGGAACTCCTTTTTTCCTCGGTGTGTTTCATCTTATCGTCTATCTTGACCTTGGCCAGCAAAGTGGCCTCCTTACTTTGAGCGGCCATTTCTTTTATACGCGTCTCCTTTTCTTTCCATTGCTCCTTCAGCTGATGCTCAATCGACTTGGTAGTAAAATTCGCGGGTAATTATTTTAAAATTATTTTTTAATAAAAAAAATAGAGCATTATTATATATTATCTGTAATTGATGTTTGATTCGCTAGAGTGAGCGCCAATCAGGATCGGTTCAGATCGCTCCGTGACAACGAAGAGCATTTCGAGAATGATAGTAGTCAGCTGAATTGGTGTCGAGTTTGGAAAACCAAATAGAATCTAGTTATTTTATTCGCAAAATCGGCTCGGATTGAACGGGTTCAGTGATTTACTACACTAATTTAGCCAGCTCAAGCCACATTCGGATTGTTTAACTTGACCCGGCCAATAAACAATGCTCTACCAAACAGTATGAAAATTAAAGATTTTAAAAAACAGTTTTTTTTACATTTAAAACAGTTTTTTTTAAAAAAAACAATAATATTTTCCTTTTGTAACCCTAAATGAAGATTACCACTTTACATTTTTAAAAAAAAATGAGTTAGTGTTGGAACTAGGGAGGATAAAAATCAATAGAGTTTTCTATTCTATAAAAATTCGTTTTAGTTCTTCGCTGACCGCTTAAATGGATTTCCCTGCCAACTTGATTCGGATGATAACTATATCCGCCAATTTATTCACAAACAACACTTTTTTAAAACCGGTTATTACATCGGTAATATTCGATCCGATACCACCTTATTATAACCTTATAATTTTATCAAAGCAAGAACATTTTTTTTGGCGCCTTAATAAGTGGCAGATAACTTTTGTCATCAAAGACTAATAAATTCTTTAAAAAAAAGAAAGAATAACAAAGAAAAACACGTGTTCACTTTTCTCTTTTCCTCGGCGAGTCTAAGTTTATTTTCGATATCGTCCCTGGTTTTGCACCTTTTACGATGATATAACAATTTACATAAATTTGATAAGTTTATAAAAAAAGGCAATAAAAACAAAACAGCTTATATATAAAATGTCTGCCTATAGTAAACGGAAGTGAATACTTCATCCAGAAAAATATTACAGGAGCCTGAAGATTTTACTCATAGGCGGCCCAAAGGTTTGGCCATCCATTAACGAAATCTCGAGGCTTAGAACAATATTTTTCTGGCTAACATATCGAGTTAGCCGTTTTTTTTAAAAAAAATCGGTTTCTAGTGGACGAAAGCAGAAATAATTGCGCATTGCGCGTAACGATTTCGGCGTGGACTGAATTCGTTAGCGTTTGAAAGGGTAGCCATATTTCCCCTACATAGTCGCTATAACCCCCCAAACAAACAAATTTTGTGCAGCGAAAAACTTGGGCGAGTTGGTGACGCTTAGGTGCATTTCCTCCTCGGATACCAGGATACCGTAGCTGTCATTACTATTTTGGTAGCTGAGGTTACCGTTTCCGCGCCTGACCAAACTTTTCGGGGAACAGGGGGGAGCGAGGATCAGATCGAAAGCTAAACTGTTTCCCTTGGAAGAGGATTTGAATTCTAATTAAAAAAAAAATTAAAATATAATTGTCATGCCCCTAAGCCAAATGATATTAATAATACCTAGACTGACGACGATGCATTCATTTAAAAGTGTACAATCAATGAAAAACAGCTGTGGACGCCATTTTGATTACCCGTATCATTATTTTAAAAAAAATTTTAAACGAGAGGGCCAATTAATTCCTTATATCCGAGGCAAACTTTATTATAAGAATTGCCTGATCAACGAGATAATAAGGAAGCAAGTTTATAAATTTAATAGTAGTTTCTAAAGTGAGAATAATTACTATATGGGTTACCAAAATGGCGGGTCCAGCTGATTTGCATTCGACGACGCTTTCTAATGCGTCAGTCTAGGTATGTTATATGTCATTGATTAGAATGTGTTTTTTTTTGTAAAAATTTTGAATAGTTGATACTTTTTGATCCCACTAGGGATCATTTTATAAAAATACTGATATAAGATTGGGTTACATCTTTTGAATTAAAGGCTCTTTTATAAGATTCGATATGCACGCGATAAAAAAAAATGGCGATAGGAAATGGAATAAGTTCAAAAAAAGTAATTGTTTTTTTTTCTTGAATATTGATCAAAATAAATTAAAAAATATAAATTATTTATAATTTTGTATTATTTATTGCCAGAAAGAAGAAATTAAAAAGGCAAAAAAAAATGGCTAAAAAATATTTAATAAAATACAAAAAATACGTATATAAAAATAAGAAATCTGGTTAATTTACAACTTAATAATCAATATCTCGTATTGGGATATTGAATCCTTGGAGATTCGAAATCCCACATAATATTATCATTTAGTTAGCTTCTTTTCAAAAAAAAAAATTGACCAGAAATGTATTCCAGTCCGCGCTGAATAATCACGTGAGTAGTTGTTAAAAAGCCCCAGTCGGGTCTATTTTAAAAAAAAATGGCCGGATTAAGATTAAAAAAACCAAAACCACCATTTTGTAAGCCTAAAAGATTTTGCTAGTAGCTGGCATAAAATGCTTGAACATCTATCTGCTATATCTAGTTATCTTAGCTATAATCTTGATCAGGGTTTTGAGAAATTCGACCCAAATCGGGACTTTTTAACGACACTACAACTTGAGTCCAAAATTGCACAAAATTCAATGTAGTTTAAGACAGGGCCGTGACTCGGTCTAAACGGATTCAGCCACCTTCCTTTAAAACAAAAATAAACGGTCCGAGCTGAGTCGGGCTTAGGATATTTCGAAGAAAAAAAAATGGAATATATTTTTTACAACTTTTTTTTGCAAGGAAAAATAAGGCGCCAAATATTCTATACTTGTTTTGTGGAATGATCAAGAACCGCGTAACTTAGTTTTGACCGGAAGGAACAGATGATTTTCTTTTTTTTCGGGACAAATAAAAAAGAAAATTCCTTTCGAGATCGGGCCAGGGAGGGATAAATTGCCTTTTTAAAATGTAAGATAGGGCAGAATCAAGCCTTGAAAAAATTAGACAGGGTGCGCCTTCTTATTATTTTCCGTTTAATGGCGATTTTCAGGTTCACACAGGTTGACCAGTTTTCCCTCTGATTTAATCGTTAGGAAATTTTGTAGCGAGGTTTTCACATTCGGATGCCCTTTCTGGAATCAACCCCTTTAGGTTACGCCCATAGAGGAGACGGTAATCCTATTCCAGACCCAGACCACGGGGAACCTTTTAGCTCTCCATTAGCCGCCAAAAGACTTTGCCACTCTCCCGCCACCATGAAAAGTAGGATTGGGGGAAGGGGATCAATAATAACCAATGATGCGAACCCTAACCTAGGTTCAGAAATTAAAAAAAATTGTTTGGTTGGACATTTTTGAGACCACAGACCAAACAGAGGCCGATTAATGAAGAAATTCACCGAACCCCGGGGTAATATGGACTCGGGGCGGGTTCTGACCCCTCTCATGGAAGACCGGTTTCGATTAAGTTCGTTCCAGTCATCAAAATTTGCGCTAAATAGAATTCAAAATTATCGAAACCAGGGTCCGGGGTTCGCATCCCTGCTCAATACGATATAATTATTATCCCGAGAGGATAATAAAAAAAATATATATTGGCAAAAACCCCCTTTCTATCCCTCCATTTAAAATATAAAAGAAATTTGACAAAATTAAAATGTAAATTTCGTCGCGAAAAAAATATATAAATTGATTTCTTAAAATCTATGATTTTTTTAATACAAAAAATACACATTAATATATGCATAATATATTAATTTATAAATGACCGATAATTGCTAATAATAAATAAACTACCACAAAATTAGACCGTGTTCTTATCCCGATACATGAAAATTGCATAATAATTAATATAATTTCTCTAAAAAAATATTTTTTTATGCAAGGAATTTTACAAAAAATAAAATTTGGATTAAGGTATATAATGTATTAATGTATGTATATTACAAAAAGGAACATTTTTTTGATATATTAATTCAAAAAAAAACATACGGAAGTAACGTTTAATGAAAAAATTTTTTTTGATTTGTCACAAAGTAATATTACAAATTTTGAGACGCGAAGCGAATAACCACAGGAAGAGAGTTTAATAGTGCGCACAAATTGAACGTTTAAACGCAGCGTTTTCAAGAACGCAAATATTTAAAAAAATCGCAAACGCGGCTATCTTCAGAATTGGGCCGTTTAAACGGACGCATTTAAAAATGTATTATTCGCGTTTTGAAACGCGTTGAGTTTGAGCTAACGCACTATTAAGTGTACCTATTTTTTCTTAAAGAACAATAAAATATGTTATACCTCATTATGTCGTGTCGAACCTAAAAAAATAGAATTCAAGATTTCTGACTAAGTAAAATGGAAGATTATATATATGCGCTAATTAAACTAAGTTATAACCCTTAATCTTCATATCCGCTTCCGCTACCGCTAATATCAAATCAGCTTCTTGATGGGTCACCTTTTTTAGTGTTCCAAATTCTACCACAATTCACGATCTCTGTAAAACCCCAGCCCGAAACTGATTCTTTTAAGAGGTTCGGTCAGTTTGTTTAGATTAATTAATTTCCAATTTAACTCGATACCCAACCTAGTGATAAAAATTCGATTGATATATGTTCAGATTTCGTGTACCCATTATTTTAACCAATCAAAAAATAGCGTTTTCAATTCAGGGTGGTTCGATAAACTGCTCAATCTTCAAAGATTTTTCCCATCACTGAAGCTATTTTAAAAAAAAATGCTAGGATTTTTAAATCAAATATTACGCACCAAAATTTAAAATCTTTTCTATAAGTTAAATCTTATGTGATGATATGAAAGATAGAAAAGAAAAGAAAAGAAAAGAAAAGAAAAGAAAAGAAAAGAAAAGAAAAGAAAAGAAAAGAAAAGAAAAGAAAAGAAAAGAAAAGAAAAGAAAAGAAAAGAAAAGAAAAGAAAAGAAAAAGAAAAGAAAAGAAAAGAAAAGAAAAGAAAAGAAAAGAAAAGAAAAGAAAAAGAAAAGAAAAGAAAAAGAAAAGAAAAGAAAAGAAAAGAAAAGAAAAACTTAAAACTGATTGTCAATCGTAAATAATTTCTGAACTCGAACTCACTCAGAATATCTTTAAAGTGACAAAATTCTAAAAAGGTTGAGGATTCGCAGGTATTCCTGAGTCAACAAAAATGTTTTGAAAGATTGGGAGAAAAAATGATGAACATGATCCTACCCTGTTCCACTTTTTATTTCATTTTTTTTTAAAAAAAAAATAATAATTCTTTAAAAACCTTTAAAAAAAAGTGATATTAAACAGATTTTATTCTTATAGGAACACATAGTAAATACGTTTTGGTTCAGAATGAGAACAAAGCAGCAATTATAAAAAAAACTAAAAAAAAATTCCCTGTTTTAATTAATAAATATTTTTTAAAAATATATTATATATATATAAAACATTTTTTAAATTAAATATTTATATTGATTTTAATATATAAATTTATGGAGATTTGTAGTTTTTTTCCATCTTTTTAAGTTATAAAAAGATAAATTTCTTAAAAGACAAGCCAATAATAACCACCAAAAATATTATTATTACGCGTATGAATTATATTAATTTATTACATCTATATGTAGTGTTCTTTTAAACGGCTAGTTTTGAGCCGATTTTTAAAAACGAGTTAACTTCTATATTTCATCCAGAAAAAAAATATTACTCAAAACCTGAAGATTTTGTTTGTAGAAAGAAACAGAGGTCTAGAACATATATCATATAAATCCCTAAGACTTTGGCACTATTTTTCTGGCTAAAAATATTGAGTTAGCCGTTTAGATATTTTTTTTCTTCAAAACTTATATCATTATGTAAAAATTAAAATTGGTTTTTAGTAGGCGTGTTGTTAAACGGTTCGGTTGCGTCTTATTTTAAATTTCAAGATTCGAGCCAAGGTGTACATTCGGTGAAAAAACAGCTGAGGACGCCATTTTGATTACCCGTATCATTATTAAAAAAATTCCTATGTCTGTCGCCGCCTATTTTATTAAAAGAATTCGCCCGAATCATCGAGACAATAAGGAAGCAAATAATCACTATACGGGTTCCCAAAATGGAGAGTCCAGCTGATCCGCATCCGACGACGCCCCTATTCAAACGCATCATTACGAACGCGTCGTCAGTCTAGGCATTATTATTATTATGTAATTGAAAATGATATGAAGCAATTCCTCAAGATTTCTTCGTGTCTGAGCCCTTCTGCCATATAAGAGCGGAAACTTGGTGCTGGCGTAATATTTTTCCGGCTCTGGCTAAAACATATGGTTAGCCTGTTTTTTTTTAAAAATATCGAGGCCGTTTAAACTACCGCTTAGAAGAGTAAGATCGAATTCACGGTTAAAACCTATATATAGGGTAACCATCGGGTTTTTTTTAGAGGGCTATCAATCTTCGGGAATTTAGGGAGACTTTCATTCATTCTTTTACTAAGGTTTATATACTAAAAAAAAAATAATGTAATTTTAAAAAAAATTTATATGGATGGGATGATGTTAT